TCTTGTTTTTGGTGTGGGTGTGTTTGTGATCTTTAGGGACCCCTTTCAGACAGAACGGTGTTGGATGCTACTAGTCCAGAGATGGAAGGAAGAAACAACCCTGACCAGAGAAGAATGGCAAACCAAGTTGATGGACTTTGCTGAAATGGCAAAATTAACTGGGAAGCCCAGAAATCAATAGGACAAGAACTTTAAAAAAAGAATGGGACAAGTTTATAATCTATTTACGAGACCATTGTAAACAGGTTAAAACATTAGCAGGATTTTAATCACTCTTGTAAAATAATGGAAAGCATGGATGGGACACAGGTGGCGCTGTGGGTTAAACCACAGAGCCTAGGACTTGACGATCAGAAGGTCGGCGGTTCAAATCCCTGCAACGGGGTGAGCTCCCATTGTTTGGTCCCTGCTCCTGCCAACCTAGCAGTTTGAAAGCATGTCAAAGTGCAAGTAGATAAATAGGTACCACTCCGGCGGGAAGGTAAACAGTGCACTGCTCTGGTTCACCAGATGCGGCTTAGTCATGCTGGCCACATGAAACCGAAGCTGTACACCGGCTCCCTCGGCCAGTAAAGCGAGATGAGCGTGCAACCCCAGAGTGGGCCACGACTGCCCCTAATGGTCAGGGGTCCCCTTTATGGATAGCTTGGATGGATAAAAATTTGGACAAGTATTGATATGCAGTTGTAAATATTATTAGGACCCATGGAAGGGATGGGGGGAAATCAGGTGATTCAGAGCAATCTCGATATTTGGATATTGAATTTGTTTTGTTATATGTTTATATTTTTAAAAATCAAATAAAAAAGTATTTTTATTTTTTTAAAAAAGACAGAATGGTGTTATGGGAATTAAAAGGGGGGGGGGTCAATATCCAACGAAGTCATCCACAGAGTAAACCCACTGAAATCAATAGGTCTGCTCTGAGTAGGACTGATTTCAATCTCGCCCAAACTCCAGAATGAGCTCCTAGCAACATCATAAATGTTATGCAACTAAGAAGCTGTCAAGAAACTTCATAAGGGAACTTTCTGTTTGTGCCCGTCTGACACTTTTAGTAGGGGGACACAGAGGCCCAAGTCTGCCATCAATTTTTTTCTTCCTTCCTTCCCTTTTTTTGGCCTTAAAAAGCGTCTGTGAATGCTGTCTCACCGCAGTGGTCCCAAAGCCACACATCCAGCTGGGCATGCTATCTGCTTAATCTCACCTTCTCCTGTTACTCAGAGTGACTCCTGAGGAAATGTATTTCAGCGGGTTATGTAGCTCTTTCATCTCCATCAAAGAGCTAAAGATGGCGGCCACCTCTTCCAAGCAGCACAGGTGTTGTGTGAGGCGAGCCCAACTGTCAGCAGTCAGAAAGGAGTGCTTAACTTTTGGAACATGTTGGATCATGCCCTCCAAATTGAGATTGGAATTTGTAACAGAATTCTCAGTGCCCTTGCCAAGTCATGCAACCCACAGCCTTTGTTTACCAGGGATAAGTCTCCATTTGCCGGTAAGTCGCTGGCCCTAATTTTGCCTTTGATGGAGACTGGGGTGTATGCATTTTTTAATTACGTGTGCACCCATTGGAAGAGTTGCTATTCTTAGAAGTTTTAGCATCCTGCCTCCGAGACTTCTGAAGATAAATCTCTGAGTAGGGGATGGATATACCGTGTTCTTGTGAAAACGCATGTACATTGCAGACACATGAGCACTACAGCACCACCTAGTGTGTAACCTGACATTTCACATGTTGGAGCTGGTGAACTGTTAAGTACAGTCATACCTCGGGATAAATACGCTTCAGGATAAGTATTTTTGGGTTGCCCTCTGTGGCGACCCGGAAGTAACGGAGTGCGTTACTTCCTAGTTTCGTCGCTCGCGCATGTGCAGGTGGTCAAAATGACGTCACACGCATGTGCGGAAGCAGTGAAACGCGACCCGCAGATGCACAGATATGCAGTCACGTCTTAAGTTCTGTTCAGGGTGCGAACGGGGCTCCAGAATGGATCCCGTTCACATCCCGAGGTACCACTGTACAGTCATACCTCGGGTTACAGCCACTTCAGGTTGCGTTTTTTCGGATTGCGGACCGCCGAAACCCGGAAGTACCGAATGGGTTACTTCTGGGTTTTGGCGGACACGCATGCGCAGAAGCGCTAAATCGCGCTTTGCGTATGTGCAGAAGTATCAAATCGCAACCCATCCATGCGCAGACGTGGGTTGCGAACGTGCATCCTGCACGGATCACGTTTGCAACCCGAGTTTCCACTGTAATAATAATAATAATTTATTATTTATACCCCGCCCATCTGGCTGGGTTTCCCCGGCCACTCTGGGCGGCTTCCAACAGAATATTAAAATACAATAGTCCATTAAACATTAAAAGCTTCCCTAAACAGGGCTGCCTTCAGATGTCTTCTAAAAGTCTGGTAGTTGTTTTCTCTTTGACATCTGATGGGAGGGCGTTCCACAGGGCGGGTGCCACTACCAATAAGGCCCTCTGCATGGTTCCCTGTAACTTGGCTTCTTGCAGCGAGGGAACCACCAGAAAGCCCTCGGTGCTGGACCTCAGCGTCCGGGCAGAACAATGGGGGTGGAGACGCTCCTTCAAACAAAAAATTGATCTTCTGTTTCTGTTCCTGCCTGTATCCAGATAATAAAGGATGCTGAATGTTTGGGTTTCAGGTTCATTGTAAGTACTGCTAGACCCACTGCAAAATTAGATGCTCTGTTGCACATGGTTATTTTATTTTTGAAGGAAACTGTTATGTGGTAAGGAGAAGCACATCACACACCCTCCACGTGATGGGCAGAAACAGGGTAAATGTGCAGCCACTTGCTGCCCCACAGTAAATGAGCACAGCATGCAGCAAGCGAAAAGAGATTCCAGCACTGTGCAAGAGAATGTTTGAGGTGGTGATGTGAGAATGGACATGTAACAAATATACAAGAGTTCCCCTATTTTCACATCTAAAGATGTGACGTTTTATAACTACCGTATTTTTCACTCCATAGGGCGCACCAGATCATAGGGCACACCTAGTTTTTATGGGGGGGGGGGGAGAAAATCTTTTTTATTCCCCCCCCCCGCCAGCCCCAAAGAGCAAAGAAGCCAAGACAGCTAGTGGGATCCATCCCGCTGGCTGTCTTGGCTTCCTCTTTAACCGGGAGAGGCTGCGCGCGGCTTTGGCAGAAGCCAAGACAGAGTGGGATGGATCCCGCTAGCTGTCTTGGCTTCGTTTTTAGCCGTGGGGCTGGGGCCGGGGAAGCCTGAGCTTCCCCTGACCCCAGCTCCCAGAATGGGTCCAGGAGCGGGGACGAGGTTGCGCGCAACCTCGCCTTCGCTCCCGGAGCTTGCTGCTATCCGCAAGACTTCTGAGCCCGGCGGGAACTCCCGCCACGCTCCGAAGGCTTGCAGATAGCTTCCTGAAGCTTGGAGAGGCTGCATTCGCTCCATAGGATGCACACACATTTCCCCTTCATTTTTGGAGGGGAAAAAGTGCGTCCTATAGAGCCAAAAATACGGTAAAATACATTCCCAAGGATTGTTTGGGGCAGTAGCCATCACTGGTATAAGACCATATGCACTCATGATTAGAATTCTGCCCATACCTATTATTTATTATTATTATTATTATTATGTATTATTATTTTGCCAACCTGGTTCCCAAACAGGATATTCCCTCCTTCCATAAATCAGCCAGACAATCCCATTCTCATTTTCATTCACGAAAAGTGGAATAGCAATGGAAACTCCACATGTATGGACTGCTGTTTTCCACCTAGGGTTTTTCCATATAATATAGATATTCTGTCTTCTGCTGTTCTGCTGTTCCTATATTGTTGGTTTTTTCCGATAGATATTGTTGGTTTTTTTCTATATACCGTATTTTTCGCTCTATAAGATGCACCAGACCATAAGACGCACCTAGTTTTGGGAGGAGGAAAACAAGAAAAAAAATATTCTGACTCTCAGAAGCCAGAACAAAAGGGATCGCTGGGCAGGGAAAGCAGCAATCCCTCTTGCTGTTCTGGCTTCTGGGATAGCTGCGCAGCCTGCATTCACTCCATAAGACGCACACACATTTCCCCTTACTTTTTAGGAGGGAAAAAGTGAGTCCTATAGAGCAAAAAATACGGTATATGGGGGAAAACCCAACAATATAGGAACAGAAGAATGGCAGAAGACAGAAGCCGCTTCAGCCAGTGTCCTACAGTCTCAGGAAGGCAGACAAAAGATGAAGACTCAGTGCTAAGATAGCTCAGTTGGTAGAGCATGGGACTCTTAATCCCTGGGTTGTGGGTTCAAGTCCCATGTTAGGCAAAAGATTCTTGCTTTGCAGGGGGTTGGACTAGATGACCCTCGTGGTCCCTCCCAACTCTACAGTTCTATGATTCTGTGTCCTTTAAGATAAAACTTTATTCGCATTAGCCAATGGCCATAGCAACAGTAAAACATTACAGTATACGCAGAAAAGGGAATTTGATATAAAAGCACAATTTAAAGCCTAGAATCAGCCGCCGGTTAGTGGCCCCTGCTATGAACCTAGCATTTATTTTTGTGTTCTGTTGGAAGCCGCCCAGAGTGGCTGGGGAAACCCAGCCAGATGGGCGGGGTATAAATAATAAATTATTATTATAAATTATTATTATTATACAAATCTTTGCTGTTATCTGCTCATTTTGATCTGACAGAAGAAAGGACATTGTCCTTTAACGTATTCCATGAGTGGACTCCTACTGGTTTGCTCCTGATTACCGTATTTTTTGCTCTATAAGACTCACTTTTAAAAAGTAAGGGGAAATGTGTGTGCTATGTGTTATGAAATGTGATATGGAGCGAATGCAGGCTGCGCAGCGATCCCTCTTGCTGTCCTGGCTTCTGAGACTCAGAATATTTTTTTTCTTGTTTTCCTCCTCCAAAAACTAGGTGCGTCTTGTGGTCTGGTGCGTCTTATAGAGCAAAAAATACGGTAATTATATCCTCTTTCCATCACTGCTAATCTATTTGAACCCCTCGCCAGAGAGTGTGTGTTCTCTCTCTCTCTCTCTCTCTCTCTCTCTGTGTGTGTGTGTGTGTGTGTGTGAGAGAGAGAGAGAGAGAGAGAGAGAGAGAGAGAGACTGAGACTACTCTGTCTGTAAAGAGGGAGCGAACAGCCGTTTCTGACAGGGGGACAGAATTTGAAAATTATTTTCCTCACAGAGAATGCACAGCCAGAGGGAAAGTCACTCTACTGTCTCGCGTCGGGAGGAGGGAACAAATTCTGGGAAATGATTAAGCAGCAACACAAGCAATCTGGTTCAATTAAAATTAGGCGACAAATTGAAGATATACGCAATAAATTAGAAATGATTAAGCAGCCCTGAGGGGTTGGAAGAAAGAACGCAAGAAGAGAACCGCAGGATCAGGCCAAAGGCTCACGTAGTCCAGCTTTCTCTTCTCACAGGGGCCAAAACAGATGCCACTATGGGAAGGTCAGAAGCAGGGCCTGAGAGGAGCACCAGCACCCTTCCCCACCGTGTGGACAGAACACAGCAGGGTGTGTATGAAAATGTATGAGGTACATGAAACGGTAGCACTCATACTGCAGTATAAAATGGAAAGCAAGACTCAGAGCTCACTCCGTCTGAAAAGCACCTTCTGGGAATTGCTGCTGAGGTGGGAGGGCTGAGGCTTACAGAATTCTCAGCACCGTTGTTGTTGTTTAGTCGTGTCCGACTCTTCGTGACCCCCTGGACCAGAGCACGCCAGGCACTCCTGTCTTCCACTGCCTCCCGCAGTTTGGTCAAACTCATGCTGGTAGCTTCGAGAACACTGTCCAACCATCTCGTCCTCTGTTATCCCCTTCTTGTGCCCTCCATCTTTGCCAACATCAGGGTCTTTTCAAGGGAGTCTTCTCTTCTCATGAGGTGGCCAAAGTATTGGAGCCTCAGCTTCAGGATCTGTCCTTCCAGTGAGCACTCAGGGCTGATTTCCTTCAGAATGGATAGGTTTGATCTTCTTGCAGTCCATGGGTCTCTCAAGAGTCTCCTCCAGCACCATAATTCAATGCATCAATTCTTCGGCGATCAGCCTTCATTATGGTCCAGCTCTCACTTCCATACATCACTACTGAGAAAACCATAGCTTTACTAGAGGGACCTTTGTTAGCAAGGTGATGTCTCTGCTTTTTAAGATGCTGTCTAGGTTTGTCATTGCTTTTCTCTCAAGAAGCAGGCGTCTTTTAATTTTGTGACTGCTGTCACCATCTGCAGTGATCATGGAGCCCAAGAAAGGAAAACCTCTCACTGCCTCCATTTCTTCCCCTTCTATTTGCCTGGAGGTGATGGGACCAGTGGCCATGATCTTGGTTTTTTTGACCATATTTTGCGCTCTTCTCTTTCACCCTCATTAAAAGGTTCTTTAATTCCTCCTCACTTTCTGCCATCAAGGTTGTGTCATCTGCATATCTGAGGTTGTTGATATTTCTTCCAGCAATCTTAATTCCGGCTTGGGATTCATCCAGCCCAGCCTTTCGCATGATGAATTCTGCATATAAGTTAAATAAGCAGGGAGACAATATACAACCTTGAGCCAACGCTGTATATTGTCTCAGCACCCTTACCAAACTACAATTCTCAGAATTCTTTGGGGGTGGGGAGCCATTGCAGCAAAGTAGAACAAAAGGAAAATACTTTTAGTGTCTTCTTTCTTAGATAAGGTAATGATCTCTGGAGCCCATAAGCAGGACATGAGCACTATCCTACTACTGTTCCGCTGCAACTGTTCTTCAGAGGGCAAACTATTTGGATACCGAAGGTGACATAGTGTTGAGTTGAGGAAGGCATGGAAGTTGTATGCCTGAAATCCTTCTAATTCCTGGATCCAGCACTGATTCAATTCCTAGAGTAGCCAGGCTAGCTTCCTGGTGAGGTGATGGCCTTCTAAGTACAGGCCATTAAGGTAACAAAGGATGTGGCTCGATGCCAGATAACAACTGGCTAGAAAGACAAAGGCCAGAGTTGGGAGAAAGAGAGAGAGAGAGAGAGAGAGAGAGAGAGAGAGAGAGAGAGCGCTAGAAGTGGGCAGGTTGGGTGGCTGGAAGACAGAGCTATAGCTGACTTCTGTTGGAATCTAAGCAGAAACAAGACGCTCTTGGAGTGTTAATACTGTGAACCTCCATTTTAGACTCAGGTTGCATATATGTGTGAATAAACCATATGTACTAAAGACACCACAGTCTGTGTTGTGCCTCATTCCAATGAAACTGAACCCTGGGTAAGCTGCCACTTGGAGATTGGGGAGCAATCTTTTTTAAATTTTATGAGGCAAGACCACCATAGTGCTAAGAGCTGGGGGTTAAGGGGGAAAGCTCCTGTTCAACAAAGCTGTCTTGTATAAGTTACACCTACAGGGTTAAGATTTATTCCCCAAGTTCACCTTGTTCATATTGATGACAGTGAAGATGTATGCATATTCGATCCTCCAGCAGGATTTTTAAATGTATGTGTTTGCAGTCAATGTATCTTGCTGTACGGTAGTTTATGGACTTTAATATGCTATATATATCCACATAAAAAGTCGCAGGCATTGCTGCACCCGTGTGATAAGTTTGCTTCTAAATGTTCCGAAGATTAGCATTTGTAGGATTGTTTACAGTTCAGCTGCAGGAATGCTGTAATTCATATTATATATAGTCAACTGTTTATCCATAATTTAAAATTGCAAATTCCAGTACAGTATTTCCACATACTGGGATCCTTTTCCCCCCGCCCCCCGCAAACACACACACACACACACACACACACTCGTTTGCCGCCAGATGGCACAGAGAAAATTATTCCAGCACTCACAGCAACTGAATTTTAAGCAGACAAATGTAACAGTCTGTAGCTATAAGTGCGCCTTGCTCGCTTTTATCAATGGCTGTAGTGCTGGCCTGTTTGATCACACGCAACAGAACAAACATGGCTCATTAATCAGCGCTTTGCCTCTTTTCATTCAGAGGCCCTCTGAAAATTTATTTGGCACAGCCCTTGCTGTACAAAGAATGGAAATTTGTATAATGGCGAGGGGGAGTTATGTTCTGTAATTTAAGATAAGTTAGCTCTAGTAAAATGTGTCATACAGCTACTCTGCAAAAAGAGTAGTTAGCTGTCTCTCAGTCCCAACTCGGAGGCTGTGGTAGCCAGGAGTACTGGGGGGTGGGACAACTTTTTACTGGGCTGACCAGTACAACTGCGTCTTGTTAGGTATCCCGTGTTGAAGTCCAATAAAATGTAGAAACTTTATAAATATAGTTGTTAATAAAGTCATTTCCTCAAAATTAATGTAACAGAAGTGAACTGTAAATTCTGCTTAATTTGAGAAGGGCTTTGGGACGTGGGTGGTGCTGTGGGTTAAACCACAGAGCCTAGGACTTGCTGATCAGAAGGTCGGCAGTTCGAATCCCCGCTACGGGGTGAGCTCCCGTTGCTCAGTCTCTGCTCCTGCCAACCTAGCAGTTCGAAAGCACGTCAAAGTGCAAGTAGATAAATAGGTACCGCTCCGGCAGGAAGGTAAACGGCGTTTCCATGCGCTGCTCTGGCTTGCCAGAAGCGGCTTAGTCCTGCTGGCCACATGACCCGGAAGCTGTACGCTGGCTCCCTCGGCCAATAAAGCGAAATGAGTGCCACAACCCAGAGTTGGTCACGACTGGACCTAATGGTCAGGGGTCCCTTTACTTTACCTTGGATAACGTGTGGCAGAGTCTCTCTCTCTCTCTCTCTCTCTCTCTCTCTCTCTCTCACACACACACACACACACACTCCAAATAGGCAGTGGACGTTCAAGCAACAGACAACACACTGTGTTAATTTGACCCAGGAATGGAAGTTTGGCCATTGGAGCGTTAGGAAATTTACTTCCAAGTTAACATGCACAGGATGGCACAGTGAGTAATTCAAGAATTTGAAGGTACCAAAATGGGATAAAAACAAAGAATTGCCATGTTTGCCATGTTTGTCTTCCATTGCACACCTGGTTTTTGTTAAACACATAGGTTATATCCCATGGCAAGTTGGAGAAAACAGTTTTAACCCTTTGCCCCTTGCTGCATTTTCCCCAATGCAAACGGAAGACGCAGAAGGGACAATTTTGGACTACAGTGGGGGCAAAGGGTTAAAAAAACCCCAACCCTCTAACATACACCACAATCCCAATCCTGTTTAGGCTATTTGACAAATAATAATAATAAATGCAATACATTTATTTTTTGCACACACAAAAATTACATCTAGTTTGGCCCTTACGTATACAGAGGCAGTCTCAGAGTCAGCTTGAACCATTAGGCAGAGTGGGGCAGTTGCTTCAGGCGGCAGATTTTTGGGTGTCATGAAACTGCACAAACTCTTACTTAATTTATTACGGTTGTATTTTTACAGTTGCTAGGGAGGGGGACTTGTGGGTTTTTATGTCTCTGGTACCAAAATAACTTGTTTAGCCTTGGTACTGTGCAGCAGGGATGCGGGTGGTGCTGTGGGTTAAACCACAGAGCCTAGGATTTGCCAATCAGAAGGTCGGCAGTTCGAATCCCCGCTACGGGGTGAGCTCCCGTTGCTCAGTCTCTGCTCCTGCCAACCTAGCAGTTCGAAAGCACGTCAAAGTGCAAGTAGATAAATAGGTACCGCTCCGGCGGGAAGGTAAACAGCGTTTCCGTGCGCTGCTCTGGTTCACCAGAAGCGGCTTAGTCATGCTGGCCACATGACCTGGAAGCTGTACGCTGGCTCCCTCGGCCAATAAAGCGAGATGAGCGCCGCTACCCTAGAGTCAGCCACGACTGGACCAAATGGTCCGGGGTCCCTTTACCTGCCTCAGGCAGAAAAATGTCTTGCATAGGTCCTGTATACTCTTCAGCATTTCTCAAAAGATACAATATATGAATTTGAAATGCTGTTGCAATGCAGATTTGCTAATGCATGTTTCACTATACGGGTGATGATTGTTGGTATTTGCAATATTTATTAAGAAAAAAGATGTTGCACAATGATCTTTGCTGTTTTGGTTAGTGTACTTTGAAGCAGAACTTTTAAATTTCACATATAAAATGAAATAAAAATAATAAAGAAGTACTAAGGAAAAGATGAGGAAGTATCCCAGGCATGATGGAGAACCGTTT